TAGTGGGATTGACCGTCACATTATAACGCCCCCACGGCTGAAAGGGCGAGCATGTTTGGTGTGACAGGGATTCGAACCCGCGACCCTCAGATTGCGAGTCGAGTGCCTTAACCACCTGGCCATGCCGGGCCTTGGAGTATTATCGAAATCATTTGAAAATGATGTAATTCGAATATTGAAAATTCACTAATCACTTGCCTTCAGCATTATAAAATTCTCCATTTTTATTGATTTTATTTTGAGTTTGAATTACGCATATTTATTTTTTCTGCCAATTGAAGACCAGTGTGGTCTAGTGGATAGCGTGAAGAGCTGCGTATCAAGAAGTTCAACGTTCGAGTCTTGATGTATTGCTAAATACGCTCTGCACTTTTAGCTTGTGAGTCTTATAACTGTGACTTTCATTTCCATTATTCATTTAAGGGTATCCGCATAGGTGGTGGGTGTTTCTGACTGGTTGACCTTTCTCTGGTCAGCAGTTTTAAATAAAGACTGGCTATGCCTGAATCATAAAGATCTCTGACCACGCTGTTTAATCCATGTATCACATAATGTACAGTTCAGATTGAAAATACTAATCTACCAAGTCGCTATTTATGTAAATGAATGTTCGTGCGAGTCATCTGGTGGAGACAAATATATCATCAACCACGATAGTGGTTCATAATAGAGATCACAAAGAATTGCACAAAACCCTAAAAGAACGTTCGGGCAAAAAGCATCTTAAATAGTAAAGAATCAGTTCAACCAACACTTTAAAACCTTTACTATTGACGGCTAAGGCTTTACAAATATAAAAATGCACAAAAAGAACGCATGTTAGACTTACAAGGAAAAGAAAATCCGTTTAAAACGGACCGTTTGTTATTCTTCTTCTTACTATTCTAATTCTCTTGCCAGCCTACAACAAAAACGGCTTGGTATATTGTACCCAAACTTTTTGTAGAATGATAAATAAGGTACTGCGAAGGTTGTAGTGGTATTGAAAAGTGACTTTGTTTCTTCTATATTTTACACAATCTAAAATACATCATAATTCCAGTGTAAACGATCTTATCACTACCATTGAAGTTAACTTTCTTACAAATATCTGGTGTTTCTTTAAAAAGCTTAAGTACAGGGTGAAACAGGAATTACCAGCCAACAATAGATGAACATTAGATGACTGTCACATGTAAATACTCAATGCTTTGTACACTATACAATCGGTGTCTTTAGGAAGCTAACCCATACATTATGCATGAATTGAAGGAGGAGTAAAAAATATCAATACCCATAATATTAAATTTTATTTCACACATTCGTAGAATAATGACTTTAAAAGACACGAAGGTATATTTAAAGCGATGTTTTAAACGTATATGCTTTATTTGAAAAAGACTACTTTTATACGGGCTCAATGGAAGTGGTGTCTCAGTCTAGGTACATATTTGCCCATTGCTGTGCATTATATATAGAGAGAATTTAGTTACACAGAAACTGTAATTGCTCAATATATTCTCGAACAAATTTCCATGGCAATCTCCAGCTGCAGCTTTACACTTTATATCTCGAACTAATGTGATCAAATAGTCAATAGCTACAGTAAATCATCATGAATCGTATCAGCTAGCTATGTTTATTATCATTACAATGTATAAAGTTAGTTACCATATCAAGTAATCCTTTGCCCATAGCTAAGCATAATAAAAGTCAGCAAACAAGATAAATAAAAAAACTGGGAATTTAAAAACCTGCAAATGGGGATCGTAAAAAAAGGAAGGAAACAAGGCTTGAGATAATGTAGACATTACTTACTCAAACTACAAATCTCTATTTTGACTCCACCGCATGTAATTCTGGGTAACAGCATGGAGTCAAAATAGGGGTTTGTAATTTGAGTAAATAATGTCTACATTATCTCCAGCTTTGTTTCTTTACTATTTTTACGATCCCTATTTGCGGTTTTTAAATTTTAAATTTTGTATTTATCTTGTAACAAAACAGAGTACTTAATTAAGTATTTGTTTAACGAGCTGAATGCTAGAGTCTTTCTCCACTCTACGTACACCGCGCAGGAATATTACCGTATCAGCTTACATGTCAAAGTAACTTCCTAACAGCTTTGTTTTATTCTTGTGAGACGAGTTTTACAAGTAAAGACATGAGCGAGTGATAAAACTAAAAATAAGGCCGTATAATTCCGTGCCTGCTTCTGTTGTATCAAGTTTTTTTTGTTTTTTTTAATATCGCTAGGTCGTCTTTTTCAACGCAATGGTTTCGACTTAATCATGCAGTTGCAAAAAAAAAAAAACTTTTCCCAATAATGCTTGCTACTTTTATGTATCAATTTATGGTATTGGAAATAAAATTTGAACTTTATTTCATATAAGGCAGAATAGAAATTATAATGGATATACAAATCTCATTACAACTTGCTAGATTTTATCTAGTAGTTGATTAGGATTACACAACGAAACAGACCACAACTATTTTTTATTGAAAATAAATAACATGGTTATTTTAAAAAATGCAATTACTAAATTCAACATGGTCTCTCAGAATTATTATAAACAATAATTATATTATAGTGAATCTGCAGTTATATCAAAAATCATATGAGAATATTTAGAATATATTCAACATTTTAATAAAGTATCCAGACGGCTTGAATGGGAAACGAAGAACACTTTATTACGAGCACCATATCAAATGTACAAAGTATTGACAAGGTTTAGTCAGGTTAGGTTAGGAGAGTACCTGATGATGACAAAATCTTTATTGAAACGTCAAAGTGGGTTCCTCATCATCAACCACTTCTTATATTTCTTTCTTTGTTTTATTGCAAAGAATACATAATGGTTAATCTGCACTGTGTCCATTACGGAACCCGAATCCTGAATCTTATAAGCTATAAGCTGTCAAGTTTACCGTTGAGCTATTGGAAGGAACACAATTTATATAACCATGTATCTTCTAAATAACTTTTTTTTCTCCTTTCTTATAGTTTCTTCTGGCCATCTTCTCCCTGACGTTGGGGTTGGAAATTCGAGGAGAAATCATACGTGGATACCCATGTATACGTCGCTTGAACCAGCTCTATTGTCCTACACCAGGAAACAATTATCCTAAGTAAGTATTAGTTTAACTGGATCGTTACAGTGGACTGAATTTGGTGTTTGTTTATTTAAGAAGATATTGTTAGTGATATTTCTTCTTACATAACTTCATGAGCATGCGTTCTAGAGTTCCGTTGACAAAAATCTTGTTTTTATTGGTTGTTACCAATTGATCAAGTTTCGTTAATAGTGGCGTAAAAAGTCTTGACTAATAAATATTGTTACGACAGATAGATTGAAGAGAAATGATTAAGTCAAGCGAGCAGTAGGCACCGTAAGTCAAGTGTGTAAATCGCTGTGAATTATAACGTGTGTTTATAAAAATAGTTAAGTTTAAAGTGACTGCGGAAATTCTGTGTATTACAACGTTGTATCGAGAAAGAATAAACTAGTTCTAATTAAGAAAGAACTCGTATCGCTGAAGTTTCTCGGAAAGAATTTCTACCGGAAATTAACAAACAAGCAGATACGTAACAATATCAATGAAAAGGAATATTATACCCCCTCCAGAAAACAAACAACAGCATGTATACATGTTATTAATATAAAAGCATGAAACCACACTGGTCGCAATTTATGACAAAATGCTTCAAATGAATATTTGCTATAATTAGAAATTAAATTATTGACAAAGAAAAAAATCACTCCTAAAATGGCAACGCCGATAGCAAACACAATGCTCTGTCCTTCTTATAAATGTGCTTTTCTACTCTAAAGAATCATTTACATACTATGTTATATCACTTCAATATTAATTGGGGTCAATAAGTTTTTATTTTCTTTTTTGCAAAAAAATTATTAAATACGATCATGGGTTTGAAAGGGTTCAAAATAGATCTGATTAAAATGTACATAAAAGATTATTTCAAGAATTATATTTTGTAATAATATTTTTGTTGACAAGATGAATATTTCTATTGACAAATTTTAGGTAACCATATTTTCACACATATCTTCACTATTCCAACGATTCAAGTTCTGACATCTGTTCCTCTTAATTATCATATAAACCTCACATTGAAACATAGTTGTTCTGTCAAATGTTCATTACTGTAACTTTTTTTATTGCATATTGTGTAAGTTTATTTCAGTTTCAAATTTCCAGTTTATAGCTGAGAATACCAAAGTACGTTTTAGCAAACTTTGAAATAATATTTTTAAGGAATTATAAAGAAATGCCTTTCACTTTAAAATAGTAACTTGTTTTAAGCTGCAACTGTAGATTCTTATAGCCTAAACATAATTCCAGTTATAAGCAGCTTGTAACTTATTTAGTTGCATTTTACTGTGACTCCAAACCGAAAAATAAAAACTATTTAATTTATTATGCTGAACTAGAGTTTAATTTGTGCCAGACAGCATCAGATTTCATATTAGGTACATTGAAATATATATATATATATATTGTGTATAACAGGCGACAATTATCTAGTTTTCAAATGCCCATGTGAACATAAAGTAACAATAGTAAACTTTTGTTTTTCGAAAAAACGAACACATTAAACAAAATGTATATAATTCAAAAATTCCGCTCTCTTATTCCATGACTAAATGACGAGAATGTAACAGTGCATTTAGAATGTTACCTTTATGTTTTGCATCTTCTCCTTAATTTGGCCTGCGCGGGGAATGATGAGTATGAAAATTACTAATTTTTACATCCAAAACGGCGAAACGCCAAAACCTACCCCAAGTTTAGAAGATAAAGAAAAATTAAAAAGATGTAGTCACTGTAAGTAAAGATGGAGTTACCCAAGGCTTAATTTCTGCCGGATCATTTTTCAATTTGAGATCCAGAAACTGTTTTGAATTTATATGCGGAGAAACTAATTAATTTTGAAATCGCTTCTGTTTCTTTGCGAATTCATATTTGACTTAAGAAGTTCTTTACAATACTCCTTTCTAGCTCCATCCAAAATAGTAGCCTCAGTAATGTTTAAATTGTTATATTCCAAAATTCAAAATTCCTTCCCACCTCACTTGTCAATTTTTGCTCTAGAAATCACCGAGACAGAAAATACAAAGCGATATAATTTTGTTAACTTATGCTTTTTATTTTTAATTTGGGTAACCTATACATTTTCTTTTCATCACTAAGATTTACTGTTTCTAAAGTCTTCTGACGGTCGGAAGTAGCCTAATGATTAGTGTGCTCGAACAATGAATCCGAGAATTTATGGTTCGTGTCCCACTGACACAAGAGCGCTTTGTTTATTTATTTAGAGTTTTGTGCAAAATTACTCGATGGCTATCTGCGCTAGCCGCTCCTAATTTAGCAGTGATAGTATCAGAGGGAAGGTAGCTAGCCAACACCACTCACTGCCAACTCTTAGGATACGCTTTTACAAAAGAATAGTGGGATCGATCGTGACATTACAACGCCCTCACGGCGAGCATATTCGGTGACGGGAGTTTGAACACTCGACCCGCAGATTGCGAGTCGAGCACCCTAACCACCAAGTAATGTAAGGCCCACATACAATAACGCACTCTGCACTTTGGGGCTGTAAGTGTACTATAAGAATAATGATCATATCCCACTAATTGATCAAGCAGGAGTACCCAAAGAGTTGGCATTGACGGTTATTGACTATTTGTCTCCCCTCTAGTTTGTCAGTTCCAAGTTAAGGACATTTATGTGCGAATACTTCTTTTTTGTAGCTTTTCATAAAAATTCTAAATCAAACATACTAAAAGTCTTTTGTGACGACACACCAGTCTATATTAATCTGGAAATCCAAATTAATCATTATGCACAGACCAAGCAACTGAAAAAAATTCAGGCTTTTTTCCTGCTACTCCAAATTAGTCATTCTTCGTAGACCACGCAACTGAAAAACATAGGCTTTTTGTTATTAATCCATTACCTATAACCACATCGTAGGTCACAGGGGGACAAATGCCAACGGTGAATAAATGAAGAAAAAACGCCCGGTAATCACCGGGGTGTCTTCCGGCATTCTTGATCAGCACAGTGGATGCATTCAAGACGTAAGCACTCTACCTTGGTAGTCAAAAGCTTTCTTTGTCTGTATAAGTCAAAGATTCGGCCTCATGGCGCCTAAAAATTTACAGATAGTATAAGAGTCCGAGTTTTTAATATAAGTAGCGAGATATCATCCAATCGCATTTTTGTGATGCAATTATAATGTGTGGCTCTCATTTATTGGCATTTTATTTCATATTTATACAAATAACGCGTTTCCTTTACTTATATATCTTAAATGATAGCATATTAAGTGCAAATGCACAGTAGGCTGTCGTTGCTGTATCCACCACAGAGAAAGAATTCCGAATGTTAGCGTTATAAGCCTTCAAGTTTATCGCTGAGCCACTGGGCAATCTATTAAGTCGTCAAGAAATTAATGTCGCTTTTTTTTTTGATGAAAATACCCGAACAACTTGCATATCAAAACAAAACATATATTAAATTAAATAGTCT